GCCGCAGGTTCATGTCCAGGGAGGCTATAGTTACCAGGAACTGGCATGGGACACCAACAAGACGGGATTCTGCTCAGGAAAACATTTATTCAGCAGAGGAACAAACTCAGATCCAGAGACAGCCCCGAACAGAGGCAGGGAGATGGGTTTTGAGAATCAGGGTGGAGCTCAAAATCAGGGACGACTGGGAACACAGCAAGGGAGAAACACCAGGGGCCCAAAGCCAATCAGAAATCCCTGGGCTGCCATCCCACGAGGGTGGAGTTTCTTCCTGGGCTCGCAGGGCCCATACTCCAAGGCAGAGGGATGGAATTCCCTCTTGCCCACACTTCTCACTTTAATAATGTTCATTTGAAACCAAATCTTTGCCTCCCTGGGCAGGGGCACCTCACACAAAAGCTCACCCAGTAATGGGCTCCCCCTCCCTTCACCATCCCCAAACTTTGGCTGTCTCATTCCAGACCCCACCCCACCTCCCCAATCCCAAGGCCAACCCATCTCATCTCTGCTGGACATCAAGACCTCCTTCCCAACCCCTATTTTGCCCATTTCACACCTCCCAATCCCTATCCCACCCATCCTGCCCCACCAATGCCCATCTCACCCCTCCTGATCTGCATCCCACTTCGCCCAGTCCCCTTCCAACCCCATTCCACCTGATGCCTTCAGAAGGCTGACCTAGAACAGAGGCTGCACAGAGGTAAGAATAAAGTTTATTAAAAGGCCTTAAAAGATATGCTTTGGGCAGTACAAGAGCCTGGCCAGGGCTACACCCAAGATCAACCAAAAATGGCCACAAAAATGGATGAACAACTGATTGTAAGGTCTCACATTTTTGTAAGCTTAGGTCCATCTGCATATTGGGATTAATGGTCCAATTACAGCTTCAGATGATGAAGTCCCATCCTTCTTGTTTTCTTCCTTTAGTCCACCGTTGTTTATGCTTTTGGGCCTGAAACTTGTAACGACTGCCCTTGTTATCAAGCTAGAAAAGGAATCGTTTTGTCTACCTACTCTGTGAAGAGAGCTCACTAACACTTAATATGAAGTTCAAAACTACAAACCTAGCCAGTGCAGAATATGAAAAATATGAAAGCTAAAGCTTAAGGCATCACACCCTTAGAGGCTGTGGAATTGTATAATTTTGGAGTGGTTTAGAGGTGGCAGATAAAACCCTCTCATCCCTTTGAATGCCAAGAAATGGAGACAACTACACCAAATACCGCCACAACTCCCAAGTTTCTCCCTAAATCCCAGATTCCCTTGAAACACTAGTAAAAAGTGAGGCTTAAGATGCTTTTGATGAATTTGTTGATTTTTACCCCAATTTTGTCTGTTTTACAAGGATGAAGATGAACCAAAAGATAATTGAAACCAAACTAAAATGACCACCAGCCCAGTGTGTTCCCAACACAGATCACTGGGAACGTGGGTCATCAGGGCTTTGCCCAACGTGGGTCCTCTGATGGGGGATGGAGTTGGGGCAGCACACAAAGCTCTTCCTGCACTTGGGGCACTCGCAGTGCTTCCCTTACTGGTGCCTCTGTTGGTGTTTGGTCAAGTGAGAGCTCTGGGTGAATCTCTTCCCACACTGGGGACACTTGTAGAGCCTCTCCCCAGTGTGGATGCGCCTGTGGGTGACGAGGGTGGAGTTGTGCTTGAAGCCCTTGCTGCAGTTGGGGCAGCGGAAGGGCCTCTCCTCTGTGTGAATCCGCTGGTGCCTGAGGAGACTGGAACTGGTATGAAACCTCTTCCCACACTGGAGACATTCGTAGGGCCTCTCCCCAGCGTGGATCATCTGGTGAATGGTCAGTTGGGACCTCTGGCTGAAGGTCATCCCACATTCCCCACACTCATAGGGCTGTTCCCCAGTGTGGGTCCTCTGGTGGATGGTCAGGTAGGAGCTGTTTCTGAAGCTCTTCCCACATTCCACACACTCGAAAGGCCTCTCTCCAGTGTGGATGCGCCGGTGCCTATTGAGGTTGGAGTTGTGATTGAAGCCCTCCCCACAGTCAGGGCAGCGGAAGGGCCTCTCCTCTGTATGAATCCACTGGTGCTGGAGGAGAGTGTAGCTGGTCTGAAACCTCTTCTCACACTCAGAACACTCGTAGGGCCTCTCCCCAGTGTGGATGCGTTGGTGGATGATGAGTTTGGAGTTGAAGCTGAAGCCCTTCCCACATTTCCCACACTCGTAGGGCCATTCCCCAGTGTGAATCATCTGATGCTGGATCAGGCTGTTGCTGTGGCGGAAGCTCTTCCCACACTCCAAGCACTTGTAGTGTTTCTGCCCTTTGTGAAGCTGCTCATGGACCACCAGCTCAGAGCCCCGGCTGGATCTCCAGCCACCTTCCCAGCACAGGGTGAGTCTTTCCTCCTCAGAGCACCCTGGGATGGGTTTGGAGCTTCTCCTCCTGCGGGATCTCCGGGGCTTTTCTTCCCCATTGGATTCCTGCACTGTGGAACTGCGCAAATCAGCCTCTTCCACAAGGTTCTGCTGCAGGGATTTTTCCTCCCTGGTCTCCATCCTCAGCTCCTTGTCTGGGGGAGGAAGGACAAGGAGAGGATGGGATTTGCCTCCGTGCCAGAGGGAAGGGGAAGGAGATCCCCCCAGTGCGTCCACAGCAGGACGGTGTTGGCAGCGGGGTTGTCCTGCAGCTGGGGGCCATGCTGGGCTGGGAGATGGAGCAGGAGAGAGAGGGAAAGGGGCACTGACTTCCTCCTCACCTGCCTGGGTGTCCCGGGGCATCTTCCTCTTCCTCACAGCCTCTTCCTCAATCTGGACAAAGCTTGGGAATCAAAAATCCTGGCTTGGGGAAAAATACGATTCATGAGCACATGGGCTGAGGTGGTTCATTCTGCCCATGTTCATCTCTAGAAGTCAACAAGCATCTGGAGTCCATAAAAAACCCCAAACACCAAGATTCAGCCCTGAAAATGCCTCCCAGGAGTTCCCCATCTCTGGTCTCTCCCCTTTGGTGTTCAGGGTTTCCCTCCCATCCCAGCTCCTGGAGGTCATGCTTGCACTGGGGGTCCCCAGTCTACTCAGTCCCTGCCCTCCCCAGGCTGCTGGGAGTGCCAGGAATCCGAGAAGTTCCCCGTTTCCATCTCAGCACTTAGGGATGCTGGAGGTTTTTGGGGCTTCAGAGTCCCTTCTCCCCTTATTCTCTGCTTTGGGGTGCAGGGGGTCCAAGGAGTCCCCCCTGCCCCTCTCCAGGCTGTTGAGGGTCCCGTGAATTGTGGCACTCCTCCTCTCTGGGCTCCCCACTTTGGGGTCCTGGGGGACACAGGGCTCTGCTCCACCAGGCTGCCTCTGCCTGCAGCTGCCACCAGGACCCCCCAATGTCCCCCCAAGGGGCATTTTGCATACAGCTTTGGAGTTCTTCATTCTTCAAACATCACCCACAAAAAAACGCAACCCAGGAACCCTCCAGGATATCAGGGCCAAGCTCCCCCACCCTGGTCAGCTGTGGGATGCGGGGTGATGATCCCACGGATGGGAGCTGTGAATTCAGAGTGTGCTGGACCTTGTGATTCCTTCTCCTTTCCCTGATCCTCCTCTGTCCCTCCTCTTCCTCTTCCTCCTGCTCCGCCTCTTCCTCCCTCCTCCACTTCCTCCCTAACACCACTCCCTTCTCCTACTTCCATCCCTTCTTGCTCTCCTTCATCCCTCCTCTTCCATCCCTCCTCCTCCTCCCCCAGGAGCAGCAACACCCTCGGTGCCCCGTTCCCAAACCCCTCACAGCCCATGGCAGGAGCGGGGATGGAGCCGGGACAGGTCGGGATGGGCAGCGCGGGGCTCTCCGCTGCTCCCACCCGCTGGGGATGGAGGGAACCCGGCACGGGGAAAAGGAGAGGGAAACTGGGAAAATTGGGGGCTGCAGATCCCCCAAAACTGGGGCTGGCTGGGGACCCTGGCTGGGGACTGCCAGCCCTTGAGGCTCCTCTGGGGAGATGCGGGAGGGGGGAACACAGAGAGGGCTGGGGGATTCCAGGAGTGGCAGCACTGGCAGGGACTGGTTTGTACTGGGATCGTCCTGGCACTGGCTGAGATTGCACTGGCTGTGTACTGACATCATCCTGGGATATCATACTGGGATCGTCCTGGCAGTGAGTAGGAGCCTGCAGGGGGCAACTGAGACCAGGTTGTGAGGAACTGGGAACATGCCCTGCGCTCCCCAGAACCCCGGGATCGCCCCCCATAGGTCCCATGTGTCCCCCAGACCCTTCAGGATCCCCAAGTGCCCCCTCAGCGCCCATTCAGGACCCCCCAAAACGTCCCTGGATCACTGAATGCTCCCGAAACCACAGATGCCCCTTCCAGACACGGCTGGGAATTCATCTCCCATCATCCCAGAACACAGTTCCGCGCCCAAACCTCCTGCCAT